TGACCCTATTGTTATCAATTAAATCTCGAGCATTTAATGCAATATTGTCCCGAGATTTTTGTAATCTTGACTTTTTTGTAATTAAATTCGCACAAATTATGTAATTATCTACGTAAGATTTGTGGGGAGAAAGGTTGATTTTGAAACATGAGGAAGGTACTACGGTAATTTCACATTTAAAAATTATGAAATTATTAATAAATAAGGAAGAGTGAAGTCATAGATTAGTTTTGTTCAAAATGGGGTCATAAATCCAAGTGAATTATGGGGGGGCAATTTCCCTCAACTTTGGACCAATTTTATTATTATTTTTTCAATTTTAAATTTCCTTGGTTTTTTCATCAACTTAATTGGAAAAAACGGCCCCTTAGGGTTTCGAATTTTTTCGTTCCTTTCAATTTTCAGTTTCACTTCTCTTCCTCTCGCTACGTCTCATCTCCCTCGGCAGGCGCTTCTCTTCTTCTCGCCCATCTTCGCCGGTAGAAGTAAGTCGCCCCCCGTCCGTCCTCCGTGCTGCTGTTCGCCATCCGTTGCTGAACTGCTGTCTTCCGCCGCCGCCGGCACGCCGTAGAGAGGTAGTTCTTGGGAGCTAGTTTTTTGGTTTTTGCTTTTGCATCGAACTTCTTGTTATTTGGGTTCTTATCATGTGGGTTGCATTAGATTTTCAGAATTCCTGTATTTTTGCCACAGGTTTTTTATTACGATTTTGCAAAAGAGTTAGACTTTTGATTTGTTCAATCTATGAAATCATTGCTGGAAAGGAAATTAACTCTATTTATTGTGGCCATGGTACTCATGGGTCAGAATTGAATGTTCACGAAGTGATTTCATCTGTATTTTTAGTTTTGTTACATATTTTGTGAAACTACTTAGCAAATGTTAGCGAAATGTTCTTAGATCAATCATTGTTTAGTTTTGTTCTATATGTTCTGCTTTGTTAGTGTTGTTAAATCAGTAGCTATACAGTTTTTAGTTTTGTTAAATAAGTGGCTATATATGTTCTGGAAATTTGGCCTATGGGTTTCTAAAAAATATATATAAAAATAATGCAACCGACGATCCAACCCAATCCAAAAATTTTGGGTTGGCCATTAAATTTGGGTCTCTCGGTCCCTCATATGGCCAACCCGAAAAATCTTCTTAACCTGACCCAACCCAATTCATGAACACCCTTGTGGGTTTCCTTACGTTTTCATCTTAACAATGTTTTCGGTCGGGGAAGACTGCAATAACCAACTAGTTCGGTTTGGTTTTCGGAATTATAGAAAAATGTAGGTTCAGCTGACTCAAACCGGTTTTATTCCTATCTGTTTAGGTTTTCTTATTATCGTTTTGTCCCTGCTGCCTCTCAAAGCTCGAGTTTCTTCAATTTCTCATCTCTCACAAATTCAATCTCACTGTCGCCTTAAGTGTCTCTAATCTCCGATCTCCACTTTCTTGACTCTCGAATTCGATCGCATCTCTTCACTTTCGCTCACCTCTCTCAATCTTGATCTCACCATTTCTTGCCATTGACAGTTGCCACTGTCTCATTGGTATGGATCTTTCCAATATTTCTTTAACTTCTAAAACACCACTTGAAATTTAAACTTGTTTTATGCTTTATGCTCTCTTCCATATAGACTCTGTGGTATTAGAATGAGGCTTTAAGTTTTGATTTCTGTCTATAGGTGGGTTAAAATGGCTGAAGAGGACCCGAAACCGCTTGCATATATACCAGAGGTTATACTGAAGAAAAGAAAGATCAATGAAGAGACGGCACTGAGGAGAAAGCAGCAGTTGGAGTTAAGGAAGCTCAGTTCGAAGAAAAATAAGGACGGTTTTATTAAACTACCAGAGGAGTTTGTCAGAGAATACCGTGCTAGGGTAACTCTTCCATTCTAGAGGTCATTGTGAAATATGTTTCATTTTTTTGTTTTACTTATCTATCACTGTGACATGGAAAGATGTATTTGAACCTGCTTTTTTTACCAATATACAGATTGGATTATTGGTACAGACCTCTAGCACTTAATCTTATTATGTGAAAATTATTGTTTTAATAAAATTTGGGTTAGAAAAGGTATCAGGTTAGCTAGAATGTTTTGAGCTAGAGGATAGATTGACTAGAATGTTTTGAGCTAGGAAAGTTTAAGGCGACTCCATGTTGTGTTCACGTTCTAATCGTTTTGCGAATTATTCCCCTAGTATTATATGTTCTTCTTATGAAGTTTTTATCTCTCTTTAGTCATTTTATTTATTTAATTTTGTTATGCCTCACTTGTATTTTTGAAAATTTTTATATTCTTTTCATACATCAATGAAAAATTAAAAAGAAAAAAGAAAATATCAGGTTGGGCATGCAATAATGTTGAAGGGGAGGAAAGCTATGGGTTTAGTCAATTGTTTTGAATTGCTGGCTTTGTTAAAATGCTAGTATTTTAGTCATTAGGTTCCATGTTCAAGGATAGTGGGGCTTAAATTCAAATAAAATTTCTTCCAACGTTAAATTGAAGGTGAATAGTAGTTTTTAATTGTCAAAGCTAAGCTTGGAACTTTTTGAAAGTAGTCCACATGGGTAGAAATGAAATATAGTGTGCATCTTGAGTTTCGAGTGTTAACTTGGAGTACAGAACTTTTTGGTATTGGATGATATTATAATTTATAGCTTCTCTCAATCATGTTTCGAGATGTATTGTTTATTCGAATTTTGCTTCCCTCTAGCCTCGAGTATTAGTATTTAGGTGCCCTACTCTGGAGCATTGTTCTATTGTTTGATGAACTGATTGGTTAGAATGACTTTTTAAAACATATCAAGCTTTATCTGCAAGGTAGTTGTAAACGTATCAAGTATCGCGCTCATTCTTTTCATGCAATCATGTATCTTCTATAGGAACTGGACCTTGTCAAAATGAAGCACAGGACAAAGAGAAAAAGACATGCCTTAGTACCATCAAATTCAAGATTGATTTTTATAATTCGAATACAGGGGTAAGAGTGTCTTCACATTCATTTTCTTTGTCTTCCGTTTTTACAACTTCTCAAGACTAGTAATTACACCTACCTTTTTCCAGCAAGAACGACATGCATCCAAAGACGAGGAAGATCTTATATAAGCTCGGGCTAAGTCGGATTTTCAGCGCAGTCTTTGCTAAGGCTAATGAGAGTATTCTGGGAAAGCTGCAAAGGGTGGAGCCGTACGTCACATATGGGTACGAGAACCATCATTTTCTTATCTTATTAGCTCTTTATTTTAGTTACTGTAATTCAAGTCCATTATCGGGATGTTCATCCATCCAGATCTTGTTGGGAAATAGGATGCTAAATCTAAAGAGTAACCATGTGTATTTTAGTAGTGTTAAAGCAAGCCTAGCTAGATCATGGATAGTTCATTAGATTTTGCACCCTTTCGTCCACGGTTTTACTAAAATATTAGTGCGATTCAGATACCCGAATCTTAAAAATGTGTCGGAGCTGATCTATAAGAAGGGATTCGCAAAGATAGACAAACAAAAAGTTCCTATAACCGACAATAACATCATTGAACAGGTATCGCAAAAACCATTTTAACTTCTCTACTGCCTTTAATCTCCTTCACTACCTATTAATTTGGATGGTAAATTTCAGGCATTGGGAAAGCATGGCATCCTGTGCATGGAGGATATTGTTCATCAAATTGCCAATGTGGGCCCTCACTTTAAGGAGGTAATTTCATTTTTATGGCCCTTTGAACTTGACAAGCCAGGGGGAGGAGGACTTCAAGGTAAAAAGACTTTATACAAGGATGGTGGAGATGCAGGTAATAGAGAAGATGACATCAATGATCTGATTAATGAGATGAATTAGGGCTGAGATTATTTTATTATTATTATTATTTTTTTGAAAATTTAGATTTTAAGAAATTGTAAGCTATAATGAGTGTAACTTGTTCAACTCATTTGCTTTGTTTTTTCTATGGTATTTCTAATGTATTTGAGAAATTTTTAGACTACTATATTTTCAACCATGGGAATGGTACCAACCTCTTGTAATATTTATTTGTCATGCCCTCTTGAAAGATTATATCATTCCGAAGAAGTAAAAACATTTTTGGACAATTGTGTCATGCTTATTCAAGTGAAGCCTGCATAGGAACAAATTAAACTTGGTCCTCGTCGTTCTAACAATGTTGGAATCTCTGCCTTGGCTGGTAACGCAAAGTTGAATCGGCGAAGTGTCGACAAAGCCTTCATCTCCGTTGAAGAATCTCATAAAACAGTCGCTCGCCGCCGTAATTCTCGAGAAGGGAGAGGGGGGATCCTCGAAAAGGAGGCGGACGGGTTAGGAGAATGAGAGTCGATTTTAAGGTTTTGAAAATTGGAATTGACAATTATCACATTTTATATATTAGATAACAAATATTTAATATATATATATATATATATATATTTTTTTTTTATCCAATGTGTATGTATATTAGATATTTTTAATTATATAACAAATATTTAATACATTTTTTTATCAAATGTGTAGGTATATTAGATAGTTTTAGGGGTTAGGTAGAAAGGTAAGCAATCGAACCATAGTTAGTTTAGTTTCAAGGGTCTAAGGTCAGGGGCAATATTGTAAAAAAAGGAAGAAGAATAGAAAAGAAAAGAGAACAGAAGAGGTTAGGATGCAATTTCTCAGTGGCTTTTCTTTTGTTTTCTTTCGTTTTCTTTTCCAAATTGTTCATCATTGTTCATTTCCTTCTCCCTCTCCCGCGCTCACTCCTCCTCCGCAATGAAGTCGACTGTGAATTCGATAAGTGTTTTGGACGCGACTAACAATTATTGGGTAGAGTTCGACGAGGAGAGAGTTCTTAATTGTGATGAATACGGAAGCCGGAACTCTCCAATTGATTGTAGGTTTGGAGATGAAACTGAGGCACGATGTAGGTTTGGAGATGAAACTGAGGCGCGATAAGAAGACTCCGACTCTTATTCAAATCTGCATCTGGCACAAGTGCGTCATCTTCAAGTTTGTGGAGTCACCAGTCCTGAGTGACTCCTCAACTTCCTGACAAATGAGTCCAACACTTTTGTTGGACTTAACCTCGAGAAGAACTCGGAGAAGCTGCAGGACTTTTTTTGGGGTTGGGGCTCCATAACACCATTGATCTGAAGGATTTGGATCGCGGGCAGACACTATCCCTGAGGCTTCTGGCTCTTAACTTTCTTGGAWTGGATTACCATCCTCCAAGAAGATTGAAAAAGAGCCGGTGGTCTAAAGATCGCCTCTCAGAGTTACAGGTGGGACACACAACCTCAGATGTTTTTATCTATTGAAAGGTGTTAGCATGATATTTGCTTGGAATGACCGGTGTTTGTTTTTGTTCGCGGACTATGATACTGATCTTTGCTTTACCTGTTTTTTTGTTTCAACTTTTCTGCCTCTTAATCGAAGAAGTTGTGAATTGTCATTAGGATAGGGATATGAATATGCTGTTTTTTGTTCTGTCGATTTGTGAATAGGGCAGAAATCAGAATCTGCGATTACTGGTTAGAATATGAATAAGCCTTGTCGGTGGTCAAACTGTGGACGCCCGAGTCAAACTGAAAGAAACCGACCTAACAGATCGGTTCTGGCTACTTAGGAAAAGACACCGCACACCAGGGCGCATTCGCTGAGAGTAGGGAATTACTCAGATGGGACAACTATCTACTCCATTGATTGGTATAGATACACCACTACACCACAAGTCCATGTATGAAAATCTGTCTGAAACTGATTTGTTGAGCTCGGATTACTTACTAAATTAGGCGTCGGAGTGGCTTACCTCCTTGCAGGTACCCAGGAATCACTCAAAGTATAGCCAACCGACCTCCCAGGTTGCCTTCCGTGCCTTGACAGATTTTCGCATCAACAGTTTGCACCGTTTGTGGGAATCACTGTCATAGCCACATTGACCAGATCGCTCAATCGCTCTACGGCGTCGTCTCGCGACTACCTCACATCCTTCCCGGAGGTTGGTTGCCATTGATTCCACACTATTTTTTTTTCAAATAAAAACTAAATATGCATAAATTGACTCTCTGCCTTGGCTGGTAATGGAAAGTCGAATCGGCAAAGTCAAACGACTTGTCGACAAAGCCTCCATCTCCATTGAAAAATCTCAGAAAACACTCGTTCGCCGCAAGAATTCCCCCAAACTGGACTAGGAAAAGGGAGAGGAGGGGACGTCGAAAATGAGGCGGACGGCCGGGCGTTAGAATGAGAGTCGATTTTAAGGTTTTGGGATATTTGAAAATTGGAATTGACATAATTATCACATTATATATATTATTTTTATTATATAACAAATATTTTTATCAAATGTACATGTATATTAGATAGTTTTCAGGTTTAGGTAGAAATGTAAGCAATGCAACACGACCGAACCCAACCCAAGCATAGTTAGTTTAGTTTTAAGGGTTAAGGGGTTAAATTAAAACTTAGGGTGAAAATTTGTTTTCTTTCTCAGCCGCTTTTCTTTTCTTTCATTTTTTTCTCCATAATTCACTTTCCCGCACCGTTCATTGTTCAGTTCTATCGCCTCTCCCGCACTCGCTCCTACTACTTCCAATGAAGCCGATTGTGAGTTCGATAAGTGTTATGGGCCACATTGCAAATTACTGGATGGAGTTCGACTACAAGAGAGTTCTTACGGTAGTCACCAAAGAAGCGTCCATTTTAATTAACTTGATTATGCTAAATACAGAAGTCGAAACTCTCCAGTTGATTGTATATCAGATATTTTTAATTATATAAAAAATATTTAATATATTTTTTTATCAAATGTGTATGTATATTAGATAGTTTTAGGGTTTAGGTATAAAGGTAAGCAACCGAACCATAGTTAGTTTAGTTTCAAGGGTTTAAGGTTAGGGGCAATATTGTAAAAAAAAAGAAGAATAATAGAAACGAAAAGAGAAAAGAAGAGGAGAGGTTAGGACGCAATTTCTCAGCTGCTTTTCTTTTATTTTCTTTCGTTTCTTTCCTAAATCATTCATCATTGTTCATTTCCTTCTCCCTGTCCCACGCTCACTCCTTCTCCTCGGCTTTCTTTTGTTTTCTTTCGTTTCTTTCCCAAATCGTTCATCATTGTTCATTTCCTTCTCCCTCTCCCGCGCTCGCTCCTTCTCCTCCGCAATGAAGCCGACTGTGAATTCGATAAGTGTTTTGGACGCGACTAACAATTACTGGGTAGAGTTGGACGAGGAGAGAGTTCTTACTGTGGTCATGAAAGAAAAGTTCGTTTTAAGTAACTGGATTGTGATGAATACGGAAGCCGGAACTCTCCGGTTGATTGTAGGTTTGGAGATGAAACTGAGGCGCGATAAGAAGACTTCGGCTCTTATTCAAATCTGCATCGGGCACAAGTGCGTCATCTGTAAGTTTGCGAAGTCACTAGTCCTGCTTGAGTGACTCCTCAACTTCCTAACAAATGCGTCCAACACTTTTGTTGGACTTAACCTTGAGAAGAACTCGGAGAAGCTGCAGGACTTTTTTTGGGGTTGGAGCTCCAGAACACCATTAATCTGAAGGATCTGGATCGCGGGCGGACACTATCCTTGAGGCTTCTGGCTCTTAACTTTCTTGGAATAGATGACCATCTTCCAAGATGATTGAAAGAGAGCCGGTGGTCTAAAGATCGCCTCTCAGATTTACAGGTGGGACACGCAACTTACGATGATTTTATATACTGGAAGGTGTTAACATGATATTTGCTTGGGATGACCTATGTTTGTTTTTGTTTGCAGACTATGATACTGATCTCTATTTTGCCTGCTTTTTGTTTCAAACTTTTTTGTCTCTCAATTAAAGAATTTGTGAATAGTCATTAGGATATGGATATGAATATGCTGTTTTTTGTTCTGCCGATTTGTGAATAGGGCAGATATCAGAATTTGTGATTACTTGTTCGGATATGAATATGTGCTATCAACTCGACCCTAGTTAGAGGAAGAGCTTCGATCAAGCAGCTCATCCCTATAGAGAGGAAAATGTTCCATATCAGTTCTACCCCGGTTAGAGGAAGAATTTCGATCAAGTAGCTTATCCTCGGTTAGAGTAAGAGCCGACATTAGTAGCTTATACCAACATAGAGGAAGAGCTTCCATCTCAGCTCATCCCTACATAGAGGAAGAGCTTTCATATCAGCTCGACCCCAGTTAGAGGAAGCGCTTCGAACAAGCAACTCATCCCTAGTTAGAGGAAGCGCTTCGAACAAGCAACTCATCCCTAGTTAGAGTAAGAGCTGACGTCAGTAGCTCATACCAACATAGAGGAAGAGATTCCATCTCAGCTCATCCCTACATAGAGGAAGAGCTTCCATATCAGCTCGACCCCAGTTAGAAGAAGAGCTTTGATCAAACAGCTCATCTCCGGTTAGAGTAAGAGCTGACATCAGTAATTCTTTCCAACATAGAGGAATAGCTTCTATCTCAGTTCATCCCTACAGAGAGGAAGAGGTTCCATATCAGTTTGACCTCTATTAGAGGAAGAGCTTCGATCAAGCAGTTCGTCCTTGGTTAGAGTAAGAGCTGACATTAGAGTGCATCCCAACATAGAAGAAGAACTTCCATCTCAGCTCATCCCTACATATAAGAAGAGCTTCCATCTAAGCTCATCCTCGATTAGATGAGCAACTTCGATCAAGCAGCTCATCCTCATCTAGAGGAAGAACTTCCATCGTCTGATCATATTTGAGCGAGCATGACAGACCCGACTTAGGTGTTATCGATCTACACTCCAATGGGGGCTACCAAATACAAAGTGTGCATGTCAAACTTCTAAGCGTTTAGCTTAGGTTGAGTTCCCAACTCTTTCCTCCAACTCCTAAGCGTGATGCTTAAGCCAAGCTTCTCAGCTCTTACTCCTACTCCTAAACGCCTAATTTAGTTCGAGCTTTTCAACTCTTATCTCCAACTCCTAAGCTCCCAACTTAGGCCGAGATTCTCAACTCTTACCTCCAACTCCTAAGCGCCCAGTTTTGGCCGAGCTTCTCAACTCTTACCTCCAACCCCTAAGTCCCC